TTTGAGAGAGAGAGAGAAACAGCATGAGAGGGGAGAGGGTCAGAGGGAGAAGCAGGCTCCCCGCTGAGCCAGGAGACCGATGTGGGACTCGATCCCAGGACTCCGGGATCATGACCTGAGCCGAAGGCAGTCACTTAACCAACTGAGCCACCCGGGCGCCCAGGATCCTCGTGTTTTTCAAAAGCAAGGAACAAAAATCAACTTAACGGTTTGCAAATAGCACTTTTTAAAAAAACAAGATAAAATAGAAACTATCCAAGTAGACTGTACACACTACAGATTTTATGTCAGTTTTCTTTCAGTTATATACGTATATTTTTTTCTTACACAGACACATGCATGCACACACACACTTGTGTATCTATGGAGTCTTGACATAAAAAGATCTCTTGCTATGGGTTGCAGTCAAAAATTTTAAAAACACTTCATTTCACACTGCCTGTCTTGAAATACTTGCTTTGTATTTTTTATGGAAACATTGCAATAGCAACATTAAAAACATTAATAGATGATAATCCTACCTAAAAAAATCTCCCCTTCAAATCCCATTTTTGCATTTATTTAATGCTCTGCTTTTTGCGCTTGTTTATGACTACAGCTAAAGTAACTATCAACTAACTAATTAACAGCAATAACAGCAACTAGCAAGGAGAGAAGCTCTCGCTCAGCCAAAGGTGCTACAAGAATCAGTGCCTACTAGTCTCCCAAGTACTTTACAGTTAGAGAAGCAGATATACTTTACAAAAAGACACAGTATGTTCACCAGAGAACAAAGGTTCAGACAGTTCTCTCCAAAAAAAGACTCAGAAGTAAGTCCTCCACAGACTTGACCTCGGAATGTAATTTCAGGGGGAAAGGCCCATTCTTAAAATACTTTTTCTACACAATATTGCCCAAGGCTAATATCTAGGGAAAAAAATTAACAGAAAACACAACCATCTACTCCTAATTAGGTCTAAAATTCTAAATGTGAACTGCTTTGAGAGAAGCTACACTAAAATTCCAGCTAAGATACAGAAACATGTCTCAAGATATCAGATCATTTTTAGATAGCATATTTGGGAGAAAAGAGAGAAGATAATAGCTCTGAAGAGTACAAAGATAAAAGAAAATGGGTAAAGTAATTCAGGGTTAAGAAGAGGACAAAAGGGAAACTACTCAATCACTATAACACAGTAAAAGTTTAATCCAAAACATATTAGGCTGGGGCACCTGGGTGGCTCAGTCAGTTAAGCATCTGCCTTCGGCTCTGGTCATGATCCCGGAGTCCTGGGATCGAGCCCCTCTCTCTCTGCTGCTGCCGTGCTCATGCTCACGAGCGTGCATGCGCACACGCGCTCTCTCTCTCTCTGTCAAATAAATAAATAAATAAAATAAAATATATTAGGCTGTACCAGATATTTCAGTCACCTGCCCACAGCCTCAACCAATCATGTTTTGTGACACATGAACCCACCTCCCCCTCCACAGCTAACTAGACTAGCAGTGGGCACCTTTGCCTGAGGCCTTGGGAAAAAAAGAGCCATCACCAGGATGTTGGGAATAGGAGCAAAAAGGGAAAGAATTCACAAAAAGAAACAATGAAGTTTGGATTAGGGGACTGACAAAGTAGATTCACAACAGGTAAACAGAGGTTATAAGTAAAATAAGAGATACACAGTAGAGAGAAAGAGAACTAAGCACGTCAAAATGTAGAAAATGTCAAAAATGTAGAAAAAACATGTGCAGTTCATGAAGGAGGAATGCTTGTTTGTGGCAGCTTTCTAGTTCCTACATGTGCATCCCCTTCCTCGAGGTGGGGAATAAAAAACCCCTAAAACACAAATATATGACTAAAAGGGCTTATTTGAATTTGTACCATGTTAAAAAAGAACATCTAAAAACCTTTATCATTGAAAGTCTGAACTAGAAGAGTCCTTGGAACCAGACCAATTCACTATGTTAGGCATGAGGAAAATGAGGACCACAAAGGAACATAAGGTTATACAGATAGTGACAGAGCTAGGACAAAAACCAAGGTCTCCTATTTCCATAGTCCATTACTCTCTGTCCTGTATTGCACTAACACCAACATAGAAACTTTTTTTTTTTTCAAAATGAGTATTTTTGCCACATATTTTTAAGAGAATCAGATTTTAAGAAATCTTTATATGCATAGGTCATCTCCCACAGTTTAAATAAGTTTTCCCCTTACTTAGTTCCTTGCTCTCTATTATCCTTATGAAATACATTCATCAGATTTCTCCTTTTCTTCTTAAATTTTTTTTAAATGCATCAGTCACTGAAGACATGACATAGAAAATTCATCAGGGCCCTACTGGCTTTTCTTCCACTATAACTGTACACTCAAAAACAGCGTTACTCAGGACTTGTTACTTCACATATTACACAACAGCGTTTGAACCCAAAGTAGTACATAACAGAATTTCCTTTTTTTTTTTTATTTAAAGATTTTTATTTATTTCTTTGAGAGAGAGAGAGAACAGAGGGAGGGTGAGAGGGAGAAGCAGACTCCCCGCAGAGCAGAAAGCCTGATGCAGGGCTCGATCACAGGACTCTGAGATCATGACCTGAGCCAAAGGCAGACGCGTAACCGACTTAGCCACCCAGGCGCCCCCATAACAAACATTTTCAATGAAAAAAATCAATGAAGGACCATAAGGATTTCCTTAAAGAAAAACTCATCACCAATGTCAGTAAATATCAGGAGAGAACAGTGCAAGAACCAAAACTATAGAGGAACTAATGTGAAATGTTTCAAATCACTCCTTATAAATTTTATTGCATTCATTCAATTTGTTCTGGGAAAACTACCACTGGCAAACAAAAATCCCAAAGGGGTAAAATTATTAACCAGTGAGAAATTGTACAGAGCGGTGGAAAAAAGTTGACATAAGGTAAAGATAGTGAAGCCCCACGTCAGGATTGCAAAACACCTAGATGCTTACTCTGCCAAAACAAACACTTAAGCTCCTCTAAAGATTCTCCCAAAGGACACAGCTGGGGGGGAGGGGGCAGTGAGAATAAGTCCTTGTATCTCCAGAGCTGATCCACAGAAAAGCAGAGTCATCAATTTCCTAAGAACATTCTCAGCCATCTTAAAACTGTAGAAATTAAGAAGACAGCATACTTTAAAGGAATTCCTTCCTCAGATTTAAAGTGAACAAGGTATTAAGTGAAGAACACACAAACTAGGGTGCTAATCATTAAACAAAGAAAAGCACAAAACTCATAAATCCAGAGGCCACTTCAGTATAACTAATAAAAGTATGATATTCAAAGGATTTTTTCATCAAAGGAATTAATGTCACTGTAAGCACATTATTTTTTATTCCAACAACTTAAAGGTGTGTACTGTTATCTCCACTTGATTGATGAGGAAACTCAGGCTTAGAACCTTTAATTAACCAAGGTCATAAAGCCAGGCAGTGCCTCGATCAGGATGGGAACCCAGGCTGCCTGAGCCCCTCTTAGTACCGATTTCAAGTGTGTAAGTCACAGTCGACACAGCTGTTTAAGTTCATCCTTACCAGTCACCCAGGAGCTGAGTTTGAAGAGGGGGTAAAAAAGGGGCCAACTGACTTTCTCCCTCAAAGTAGAACAGAGCTGAGCTGTCAAAAGCAGAAAAAGAAGTGAGCGCGGCTGCCGCGCGGGCGCTCCTCCATCCCTGCACCAGGTCGGTCGCTCCCCGGCGCCAGTGGCCATGGGACCGAGCCCGCCCCGCTCGGATCAAGCAGTCCAAGTCTCGCTCGGTTCTCCGCCCGGGGCCCACCGGGCCACGGCGGTCAGACCCGGAGGGGCAGGGACAAAGAGCCTCCTCGGCCGCGGGCTACTGGCAGATCCCGAGCCGGTTCTCTGAGGACACCTGGGGGCAGCGGCCCGGGTGGGGCGGGGGGCACGAGCGGGACACGGCGGAGGAAGGGCGGCCGCCGGGCCTGAGGGGGATACCGGAGAGGCGCGGGGCGGGCGGGCGGAGTCGCCTCCACCCCCCGCTTCGCTCTCGCCCCCTCCCCATTACCTTGCCTGTGGGCTTCTTGTCACTGTCGCCGCCGCCAACGGGCTCCCGAGCCGGGGCGCGCAGCGAAAGTCGATTAGCAGGCGTCAGTTGCGTCCTGCGCTCGCGAAGCAGCCTCCAGGTCGGGATGGAGAAACGCCAAGATTGAGAATCACGGACGAGGTGGTTCCCAGCTCGTGGATATTCTACTCTTCTCGTCCCTCGCAGTCCGCTTCCGCTCCGCCTCCCGGCCCGTCCTGGCCCTTCCCCCACTTCGGAGACCAGCCGATCGCGGCGCGCGGCATTATGGGGGATGTAGTCCGGGAATGAGGAGGCGGCGGCAGGGCTGATCCTACTCCTGGGGCAGGACAACGCCGTTGCGTGGCAACCAGAGGAAGCTGCCGGCTTCTCCTGGATTGGAAAATGAGTTTACGGGAGGCAGACGCTCTGTCTTAACTCCCTGCAGTAGCTGAAAGGAGAGTGTGGGCGTCTTACTCCTGACCCTCCAGCAGGCGACTAATAATTCCAAGGCTGTGAGCTGGAGGCAAAAGGACTTAGTGATTAAAAGTGTGCTGCCTGCAAGAATGTACGTTATTGCCCCTGAATGCCCTTAGTCAGTGGAGTAAGGCAAGAAAAATAAAAGGACTAACGATTAAATAAGGAGAAACAAATTGTTATTTTTCACTGATGATGTCATTATTATGTATGTGGCAAATCCAAAAGTATCTACAGATAGATTGTTACAATTAATAAAAGTTAAACAGGTTAATTTAAAAGTCGCATTTAAAAAAAACAGTATGTATTTCTACATTCCAGGGATAAAGAGAATTAATATTAAGATACCACTTACAATAGCTTCAAATTAAATATTGAGTACCTAGGAATAAATCAAAGAAGGGCAAGACCTACATGAAGAAAATATTTTTTAAAAAACATTGAAGAGGGGTCACTGGATGGCTCCCGCTGTTGAGCATCCAACTCTTGATTTCAGCTCGGGTGGTGATCTCTGGGTCCTGGAATTGAGCCCCATGGGGCATGGATCCGCTTGAGATTCTCTCTCTCCCTCACCCTCTTCCCTGGTCCCAAAAGTCCTTGAAGAAGTGCCTGTCTGGCTCAGCTGCTAGAGCATGCAACGCTTGATCTCAGGGTCATGAGTTCAAGCCCCATGCTGGTCATAGAACTTACTTAAAAAAGAAATAAAAAAACAAACACTGAAGAACACTTAAACAAGAGATAATATGTTTGGAGCACCTGGGTGGCTCAGTCAGTTAAGTGTTGCCTTCAGCTCGGGTCATGATCTCAGGATCCTGGGATTGAGCCCCTCATCGGGCTCCCTGCTCAGCAAGGAGCTTGCTTCTCTCTCTCCCTCTGTCTGCTGCTCCCCTTACTTGTGCTTTCTCTCTCTCTGTCAAATAAATAAATAAAATCTTTTTTAAAAATAAAAAGAGATAATATTTTCATAGAAATTTCAATACTGAATGATGTCAAGTCTCCCCAAATTTATCTGTAGATACAATGCAATTCCAGATAAAATCTCAATAGTGTGTGTGTGTGTGTGTGTGTGAAACTTAAGCCAATTAGACATGTTATGGAAGAGCAAAGACAAGCATTCATGAGGAAGAGAAGAAAGTAAAAGGAAGAGGAGGAAGAGGAAGACTGTGCTACCAGATAGCAAGTTTTATTACAAAGCCATAGTAATTAAGGCAGTGTGGTACTGGATCAAGAATAGACAAATATACCAATGGAACAGAATAAAGAGCCCAGAAAGTCTCACCCATATATGGGAATTTATATTGTCATGGTGGTGATGCACAGCAATGCCTAAGAAATGGTTTTCCATAATTGGTGCTAAGACAAATAGATTCCCATTTGGAAGAAAAAAAATTAAATTGGCCCTTCACACACAAAAATCAATTCCAGGTGAATAATACACATAAATTTGAATGGCAAAACAATAAAGCTTTTAGAAGATAAAATAAAAGTATATATCCATGACCTCGAGAATAGGGGACAGACTTGGACTGCCTGGCTGGCTCAGTCAGTAGAGCGTGAGACTCTTGATTTTGGGCTTGTGAGTTTGAGCCCCACATTGGGGGTAGAATTTGCTTTAAAAAAGAGAAAGAGAGGGGCGCCTGGGTGGCTCAGTCATTAAGTGTCTGCCTTCGGCTCAGGTCATGATCCCAGGGTCCTGGGATCGAGCCCCGCATCAGGCTCCCTGCTCAGTGGGAAGCCTGCTTCTCCCTCTCCCACTCCCCCTCTGCTTGTGTTCCCTCTCTTGCTGTCTCTCACTCTGTCAAATAAATAAATAAAATTTTTAAAAAAAAAAAAAAGAAAAAGAGTAAGGGACAGACTTTTTAAACTAATCCAAAAAATACTAACTATAATAGAAAAACTGATCGATTTGACTACATTAATATTTAAGATTCAGTTTCATCAAATGACACCATTAAAGAGTTAAAGAGTAAGCCTCAGAGTCTAATAAACTTACAGCATTATACATCTTAAACTTATACAGAGCTCAATGTCAATTATAGCTCAATAGAACTGAAAAAAAAAAAATGTACAGCACGTATAACCAAGAAAAGTGTTGTATCCGGAATATATAAAGAACTACAATCATAAGAAAAAGATTTGAACAGGCACATCACTAAATAAATCCAAATAATCAGTGAAAAAGTGTCAACTTTTTTCATGAAAACAGGGAAATTGAAACCACATTAAGACAATACTACACCACCCACCAGAATGGCTAAAATGAAAAAGACTGAAAATGACAACTGTTGACTAGGAGTGGAGTAATGGGAATTTTCACTTCACTATAGGGAGAGTAAATTAATAGACCAGTTTGGAAAAATCATCTGGCCCTATCTACTAAAGTTGAATACAGGCCCATATGTGACCCAGCATGCCATTTCCAGGTATATACTCTTAAGAAAGGTATGCTCATGGGCACTGGGATGCATGTCAAAGAACATTAATAGCAGTACTATTATTATTTTTTTTTAAGAGAGGTTTTATTTTTTTATTTTTTTTATTCTTATGTTAATCCCCAATAGCAGTACTATTATTATAGCTAAAAATGATAAATGATCTAATGTCCTTTATCAATAACGGATAATGGATAAATTATGGATAAATTGTGGCATAGTTGTATTAATGGAATATAATATAACAGAAAAATGAACAAACTATATGCAATGATATTTATGAACCTTAAAAATATAATGTTAAGGGATGCCTGGCTGGCTTAGTTGGTAGAGCATGTGACTCTTGATCTCAGGGTTGTGAGTTCCAGCCCCAAATTGGATGTAGAGATTACTTAAAAATAAACCCTTCAAAAATAAATATACATATACATAATGTTAAGAAAAAGAAACCACTGGGGCGCCTGGGTGGCTCAGTTGTTAAGCGGCTGCCTTCGGCTCAGGTCATGATCCCA